TTTGACGATAGGGAACGCCTGCGTCATCGGGGTTCCCGAAGGACCGGGACGGCGTGCGCGCCGTCGCGAATAAGCCCCAGGCGCGGCGGTCGGCCGAGGCGCTGTTGCCACGCCGCAACCGTCCGTTGAGTAGCTTTCTCGACCATCGGCCCCAGCGCGCTTTCGCCGCTGTAGGCGTATCCCGAGGTGAGGGGCAGTTTTTCAAGGTCGCCGGCGCTGATGCCGTTTGTGCAGTAGATCAGCCCAGCCGGGCCACCGACTTTCTCCAGCACCTTGCACCACATTTCCACTTCCCACTGGTCCTTCTGCACGCTCGGGCGTTTGAACAACGCCGCGATGTAGTCGCGCGGGCACGGCAAGCTGCTCAGCAGGGCGAGCTCGTGCACGTACTCCGCGGCGCCGACACCGTCGCTGCTGTTGGCCACCTGGATGAGGCTGCCACCGTCGCCCAAAATGGGCAGGGCGCCGATGGCGGCCTTGGCGGCCTGGTAGTGGTCAATGGTGGAATCAATGGTGATCAGTACCTCATAGGGCGCTGCGACCGGCACGCTGACCGCCTCGGCCAGGGATTCGGTGGCGCGCTCGAAGGCGAGCCGCCAGTCGCCGGCGTACACGCCCGTCAATTCCTTTTCCTCGTTCATGGTGACGTTGATGAGGAAATCGGCGCCGACCCGCTCGGCCACTTCGGTGGCTTCGCGGTGGCAGGGGTTGGCGTCGAGGCTGAGGTTGGTGGCGCCGGGGTCTTCGAGGAATGGCGGACTGTGGAATTTCTGCAGCGTTTCCAGGTTGGCCAAACCGGGACAGATGGCCTTGCGGCCGCCCGAAAATCCGGCCATGAAGTGGGGCTTGATCTCGCCGGTGAGGATTTTGATGTCGGCATCGAGATAGCGTCTGTTAATCAGCACGTCCGTACTGCTGTCCGTGGTGGTCACGAACCGCAGCACGTCGCGGTCCGTCGCGCTGTGATCGATAATCGGGTAGCGGGCCAGCACGTCGTCGCCATACAGGCGGCGTTTCTCGGCGTCGGTGGTGGCGCGGTGCGTGCCGGTGGCCACCAGAACAACGATGTTCTCCGGCAGCAGACCCTGCGCTTCGAGGGCGCGAAGAACCGGATGCAGAATGCTCGATTCGCCGGTGTAGGGAACGTCGGGCCGGGTCATGTCGGAAACGACCACGACGGCCGTGCGCTGCGCGGGGGCCTTGTCGGGGCGGGCGTCGCGGATGACGTCGGCCAGGGACGCAGTACCGATGGGTGCGGCGAGCGCTTGGGCGATAGCGCCGGCCGGATCGGCCAGCGCGGCGGGCGGGTGGGGCACCGTGAGGATATCCGTGCCTGCCGGCACCTCAAACGACACCGCCGGAACATCGATCTCCAAACGACAGGGGCCGGTCATACCATCCCTCCTCTTGAACCCGAAAAGCGCGCCCGCGCCGGACATCCAGCGCGACTGTCAGGGCGCTCGTTTTACTTATGGGAGCCGTTTTTGTCAAGGCGTTTCGCGCCACGGTAGTGGCTCAGTTTGAAAAGACTGGCTCCACTTGTTCTCCCAAAGGAAACGGGTTGCCTCGTTCGGTCGTCCGGGCGCCGGTTTCCCCCCTCAACCCGCCCGCTCTCCATAAGTGAGAGTGAGAGGGGAGACCCCCCAGTCGGATCCCCTCCCCCTCCTGGGGTAGGGCCATGGAGAGGGGGAAGCGTTGGTGTGATAGACGAAATTTGAAAGTGTAGCACTACGATGGCTCGTATGTGGCCTGCAAAGCCGCCTCGACTCCGATCGGGGGCGGGCATCCACGCGCTGTCATGATGCCGGAGCGTACGCGCTATTCTACAACACCCTCTACGTGACGTTACGCGTACTGCCCTCCGACCGAGCGGCGGGAATCCGTGGCGTTCACTCGTCCGGGCAGGTCCCAGCCACAACAAGTCATAAACACAGGCCTCCCGAGAGCGGTCACTCCGGCGCAAGAACGTCACCCCCCGGACCCCGTATCAAGGCGGGGCAGGCCATGCGCCGAATGACGATTCGAGCCTGGGAGCGCGGGCATCTTGCCCGCAGGGTTTCCGCTGGCCGTGCTGGAAGCCCGCGCTCCCAGGCATGGGGAGCACTGGCTGCGCCGTGCCTGCGGCGCTCGGCACATCGTCACGCGGAACGTCAGGACTACGAACGCGCTCCCATCCGTGGCGGCGTACCGGCGGCCGGGGAAGCCGGTCGACAGGGATTGGTGAGGGATGAGGACGCCGAGACTTATTTTCTGATGTTACGCGGCTTTGGAGATTGGCGTGGCGACGTGCCCCAAAGGTTATTGCCGCGCGGAGCCTGCCCTCGACTCCGATCGGGGGCGGGAATCCACTGGCTGCCGATGGATGTCGGGCTGACGTGCAGGCGGGACCTATGCCTGCGGACGATGGCGTTCTGGGCGGCAACTGTTGGAACAGACGCCTCAAGATGGGTTGACAAGTTGCCAAGATGTGGTCGGGTTAGCCGCAGGCGTACCCGACGTTGCGACGGCGCAAGCACCTGTGCCGCAACCGTCCAACGCCCCAAGCGGTCATTCCGGCGCACGGCCTGCCCCCCGGCTTGAACGGGGGGCATGCCGTGCGCCGGCACCGGAGCAACGCCCTACGGCCACAGGAAGTCCGCCGCCAACAGGTCCGCTACCGCGCGCCCAACAGCCGCACCGTGCCTCCGCCGTGGGCGCGCAGTGTCCAGGATCGTCGCGCTGTCCGTCCGCCGTCAGCGTCAGCGACGCGAAACCCTCAGGCCCGCGAAGGCGCTCAGTCGATGCGGTCGCCCTCCTCGGGGGTGAAGTCGGTGATCGTGTCGGGCGCCGTCACCGGCGGCGAACACGAACGTATCGGCGCCGTACGCGCCCGTCAGGCTGTCCGCGCCGCCTGTCCCGCTACAGTCTCGTCGCGACCACCGCCGCGCCGTCAGAGTCGTCGTCCGGCGCCGCCCGCTGTTTCCCCGTCGCGTCGTCCGCGACGTGTCGTCGCCGCCGTTGCCGAGCAGCACGTCATCACCCGCTTGCCCGCTCAGCGTATCGTCGTCGGCGGTACCGGTGAGGCGCCGCGCGTCGCCGACCCAGCACCGTCGTCGAGATCGTCGCCGACAGCGCCCGCCCGTCGCCGGTGCACACCGCCCCGCGGTGCCGCAGGCGCCCTCGGCGTCACCGTCACGTCGGCAAGCACCCGGCTTGACCGTACACCTCCCACAGGTCTTGCGGCCGGTCCACCCGCTTCGCGTTCTTCACGCTCCCGCCGGACACAGACAACGACTGGTCGCGGAACGTCCGGAAGCCGATCGAGATGTCCTCGCTGAACGCGATCCTGAGCTTGAACGCCGTCTCCCCGTCATGCTCATGGGGCGCCTCCACGAAACTCGCGGTCAGCGCCACGGGCGTGGCTTCGACCACCGGGCCGGCCACCGTCGCCGCCGGCGTGTTGGCGAGCTGCCGCCGGTTCCCGCCCCGGGGTGTCAGATCGCCCCCGTAGACCGCGCACATCGCGCCCCGCCGCCAGCGTGACCGTCACATCTGCCTCGCCGTCGGCTCGCGACCGTGATTCGCCACAGGTCGTGCGCCCGTCCACCCGCGCGCCTTGGTCACCTCGCCCCCGTCCACGTGAACGAATCGTCGCGCATCGACCGGAAGCCGTATCCCTCTCCTCCGCTGAACGCCACCCGGAAGTGGAACCCTTCCTCGCCGTCATGCGCCTCCGGCAGGCCCTCGAAGCTCGCCGTCAGCGCCGGCTCGGTCTCGGGCCCGGGCCGGGCACGATGTGCGCCGGCACCACCGACAGGGCTCGGCCGTCCGATGTGCAGACCGCGCCCGCCGCCTCGCAATCCTCCGTCGGGCCAAGAGCGATCGACAGATCCTCGCGGCTGTCCGGCGTGACCGTGATCTCCCACACGCCGCTCTCCCCGTCGACGCGGGCCGCGCCGGTCGCCGCGCCGCCCGCCACCGTCAGGACGCGCGTACGCATGGCCTCGGGCGTGACCGCGACCGCCTCGCTGAACGCGAGGCGGAAGCTGAACGCGGTCTCCCCGTCGTGCGCCTCCGGCAGCCCCTCGAACGCCGCCGTCAGCGGCTCCGCCACCCCGGCCAGGGCGCTGTCCTCCACGTTCCAGCAGCGTACCCCCGCATCCTCGTTGTGCGAGCAGTTGTGCAGCCCCCAGCCCGCGTACCCGCAGCGCGCTCTCCCCCGTCAGATCGGCGTCGCCCGCCGCGCACGTCAGGTCGTCGAGCCAGATCGGCAGCGGTCCAGGCTGTCCATCCGCCGGGTAGCTGCTGCCCACCGGGTAGTAGGTCATCTCCGGCTCGGACGTTTGGCTCGGCACCCCCGACTGGCCGTAGCCCGACGCGTATTCGCCGGTGTCGTAGCCCATGGACTGGCAGACCAGGGCGGGCGCATTGTTGGCGGGTTCAGTTTCCGTGAAGGTGCCCGTTGGGTCGCCGTCCGCATCCAGGTCCGGGACGAACCTGAAGGTATTCTCCTTCGAGAAGCCGTCGCTGCACACCGTGCCCCAGCGCCCGGCGTGGAACACCTCGACGCGCGCCACATGCCCGTTCAGGTGACCTTCTGTGTCGTCCGAATAGTCCTCCACGGTGTCGGGCGCCAGGCGGAACTCCCCTTCGACGCCCGGCTCGCGTTCCAGCGCGTCCGGCACCTCCACCGTGCAACCCCGACGCGGCCTTGACGTATTCGTAGCCGCTATGCCTGGGGGGCAGCGACGGCAGAGGCGTGCCGAGATCCACCGTGACGTCGCCGGTCTCCTCGGTGCGGATCACGCTCACCGGGACGCCCGCCACCGAGCCCTTCGCCACCCGCAGCCCCGTTGCACCGAACGCGAGCGTGCCGTTCTCCACGATCACCGGCAGGACCAGGTCCGATGGCGCCCCCGCGAGCACCTTCGCCCGCACCTGGCCGTCCTCCGCCGTCTCCAGGGTCACGGTGAGCGGCAGCACATCGCCAGCGGCGGGGTTGTCGGTCAGACTGAGGGCTGTCAGCCCGTCAGGCCGGAGAACAGCCCGTCGGGAAGCGAGGTCAGTTGGTTGTAGCCCAGATTGAGACCCTCCAGCTTCGAGAGCCCGGAGAACAGGCCTGCGGAAAGCTCGGTTATGCCAATGTTCTCCAGACTGAGGAACGTCAGACTCGAGAGCTCGGAGAACACGGTCCCGGGGAGCGAACTCAGAACGTTGCCGCTGGACAGATCGAGAGTTTCCAGCGCTGTCAGGCCGGAGAACACCTCGGCAGGGAGCACACTCAGAACGTTGTCTTCCAGATCGAGAGTTTCCAGCGCCGTCAGGCCGGAGAACACGGTCTCGGGGAGTGAGGTCACCCTGTTGCTATTCAGGCCAATGTACGTCACCGCCGTCAGGCCGGCGAAGTCGCCCGCCTTCAGCGACGTGATCCTCTTTCCCTCCAGAACCAGCACCGTCACCGTCGCCAGGTCCGCGACGGTCACCGCCGCGCAGTCGCTGACGGCGGAGAGCCGCGTCAGGATTTCGTCCTGCACCTGCTGCGTGCGGTCGCAGATGCCGGGGGTCGGCGTGACCGGACCCGCCATCGCCTCGCCGCCGGCGCCGTCGGCGCTCACCGCGCGGAGCTGGAAGGTGTGGGGCACCTCGTTGGTGAGCCCTGACGCCGTGAACGAGGCCTGGTTCGCGCCGCCGACCTCGCTGTTCGCAATCTCAGTCTGCACCCAGTTCCCGTAGCTCCCGTCCGTCTTGAACTGGTACTCGTGGCGCATGACGCCCGAATCCGACGCCGGCGCGTCCCAGGAGAGCGCCACCTTCGCGTCGCCGGCCGGCCTGGCCATGAAATTGGTCGGCGCGGCCGGGCCCGGCGTCTCCGCGTTGGTGCTGACCACGTCGGAGGGGTTCGAATAGGTGCTCGGCGTCTCGCCGTTGAGCGCCTTCACCTGCACCACGTACTCCGTGGTCGCCGTCAGCCCGGTGATCGTCGTTGTGGTCGTCGTGCCCGTGTGCGGCCAGTCGACAGCGGGACTCCAGGGGTCGGTCGCGCTCGCCCGGCTGCGGTAGCGCAGTTGGTAGCCGGTGATCTCCGGGCCACCGTTCAGCCCCGGCTCGGTCCAGCTCACGTCCAGGCTTGTGGACGAGCCCGAGACCGCCGTCACCGTCGGCTTGTCCGGTTTGTCCGGCTGCTCGTCCTCGTCCATCACCGTCACCGTGATCGTCTGGTCCGCCGTCTTCACCCGCGCGCCCGTACCGCTGGTCGCCCGCACCACCACCACGTAGGCGTTGTCGGTGCCCGCGTCCTGCGGGTCCTCGTAGTTGGGCGCCGCCTGGAACGTCAGCGCGCCGGAGGTGATAGCGAACAGCGCCTGGTCCGTGCCGCCGTTGAGCGCGTAGCCGGTGATGTCGTCAGTCGTGTCGATGTCCTCCGCCTCCACCGTGCCCACCGCCGTCTGGTTCTCCGCCGGGTTGAAGGTCGTTGAAGAGGTGAACGCCGGCGCGGCGTTGGTCGCGTCCGGCAGGATGGTCGCCGGCAGGTTCACGGTCGCCTTGACGAAGGTGTAGCCCCTGTGATTCCTGGGCAGCGTCGGCTGGGTCGTCAGGTCGACGTCCACGGTCGCCGCCGCCGTCGTCCCGGCCGTGCGGGTCACGGTGACCGGCTCGCTGTACACCTCGCCCGCCGCCACACTGAGCTCCGTCACGCTGCCCGCGAGCGTCCCGTTCACCAGCGTCACCGGAATGGCGACCGCGAACGGCGCCCCCGCGAGCACCTTCGCCCGCACCTGGTTGGTCCCCACCTTCTCCACCGTCACCGTGAGCTCCATCGGATTGGTGGAGTTGCCGTCCAGGGTGAGCCGAATCAGCGCCGTCAGGCCGGAGAACAGCTCCTCGGGAAGCGAACTCAGATCGTTGCTGGTGAGTTCGATGATCTGCAGCGCCGACAGGCCGGCGAACGCCCCGGCCCGTAACTCGGTGAAAGAGTTCCCCGACAGATTGATGTGTCGCAGCGTCACGAGCCCGTCGAACACCCCCTCGGGCAGAGACTCAAGCTTGTTGCTGCGCAGGTTGAGCTCGTCCATCTTGGCCAGATCGGCGAAGATCCCCTCGGGAAGCGACGACAGGCGGTTCAGGCTTAGGTCGAGGACCGTCAGCGCCGTCAGCCCCGCGAAATCGCCCTTCTGAAGCGAGGTGATCCCCTGGTTGGACGTGCTCAAGCCAAAGGCCCCGAGCGACGTGATCGCGGCCAGATTCGCGTCGGTCACCGCCGCGCAGTTATCCACGCCCGAGATCTCGCCCAGGATCGCGTCCTGGATCTTCTGCGTGCGGTCGCAGATGCCGAGCATCGGCGTCACCGGACCCGCCGTGACCGCTGTCGCTATTGACGCCAGCGCTTACCGCGTGGAGCTCGAAGGTGTAGGCCACCTCGTTGGTGAGCATTGTCACCGTGAACGAGTCCTCGTTCGCCTCGTCCGGCGCGCTGTTCGCAATCGCCGTCCAGGTCAGGGGATAGTCCCCGTCCGTCTTGTACCGGAACTCGTGGCCCGTCACCCCCGAATCCAACGCCGGCGCTTTCCAAGCGAGCGCCACCTCCATGTTGCCCGCTTTCGCGGTGAAGTCGGTCGGCGCGTCCGGCGGCGTCGTCCCGCCTACCGCGGTGCCGTTGACGCGGAGAAACAAGACGTGGTCGGTGCTGGTCCAGCTCGCGCCAGCACGGGCACGAAACCAGCTGTTATCCGCGATGGTCCAATCGGTGACGGAGGTCGCGTCTTCAGAAGCCGATGTCGTGGCCGACCAGGTCACACTAGTCCCTGTCACGAAATGAGGCATGAATGGGCCCTGCTCCGAGCGAGTGGACATCGGATCCTTACAGTTCAGTTGACAGGTACTAGAGCCGGCCAGGTTGTAATCCGCCACGACGAGATATGTGTTACCCGCCGCGAGCGTTGCGCCCGCAGGGGCGGTAAAGCTCGTCGCGACGTCGGCTGCCACGCTCGCCGGATTGGTCAAGGTATGCAGGGAACTGGCCGGACTGCCCGAGGAATCGGCGGACCACACGCTGACGCTCAGCGAGCCGATCTGCGTGGCCCCAATGTTGCTATCGAAGACAACCTCGATCGAGGTGAGCGTGTAGTCGCCGCCGACGCTGGGGACCGAAAAGCCCTGCGCTGGCAGGTACGAGACATTAGCGAGAGTACCGCCACCAGACTCGGTCTGCTCGATATTGCTCACCAGCACGCCGGCGGACTGCGCCTGGGCCGTGGCGGGCAGGGCGAGGGCGCCGAAGAGCGCGAGCAGCGCCGCGGCGGCGAGCGTCCGCACGGAGTGGACGAGGCCGCGCCGCGTGCCGGCCAGGCGCCCGAAACCCGGCCGCGCGGCGGCGGATGCGGTCGATGGAGAAGGATGGCCGCCCCGAGGGGACGGCAGGCGGTCAGGCGGCGCGGGCGGGCGGTGCGGCTCCTGAGGCGCCGTCATGGCCTCGGCTCCGGCTCGGCTCGGCTCGGCTCGGCTCGGCTCGGCTCGGCTCGGCTCGGCTCGGCTCGGCTCGGCTGGCTCGGCTCTCGGCTCGGCTCGGCTCGGCTCGGCTCGGCTCGGCTCGGCTCGGCTCGGCTCGCAAGATGAAAACCGCATTCCGGGAATGTCAAGCCTTTTTTGACGGGGGCGGCGCAGGGCCTGCCGGGCACGCCGCTGAGGCGCCGTGCCTGCATGGCCCGCTCCTCTTCACGTGCAAAGCCGTTGGCGGTTTCGATCTCGCCCGTCGCCGAACTTCCTGCCGTCACACTACCTGTCGCGCTGATCCTGTCGGGCACGCTGTGCTCCTCCGTTTGTGAGATGGATGCGGTCTTCCCCGCCGGCAGAATCTCTGATCACGTCGTTGCCGTGACCAGGGGCGCCGATTGCCCACACGCCGGAGGCGCACTATACACGAAAATGAAAACCGAAATACCTCCCATATGGGAGGGTAGTGGCTCAGTTTGAAAAGACTGGCTCACGTGTTCCAGACGGGTTGCACGTTCGGTCATCCGGCGCCGGTTTCCCCCTCACCCCGAACCTCTCCCGCCAGGGGAGAGGGGGAAACCCCCAGTCCGGCTCACCCCGCCCCCTCCCACCAGGGGAGAGAGACCAGTCCGGGTCAACTCTGCGCAGGGCCAGGGAGAGGGGGAAGCATTGGTGTGAGAAGGAAATTTGAAAGTGAGCCACTACCCGCGCCGCTGGCGGCTTGACACGCCAACGCCGAGCGCCGTATGCTGCGCCGCCGTTTCGCGGCACGGCCTGCTTGATTCCCACCGATGAAAGCCAACCGGACCAACACGATCAAAACCCAAGCCAGTGAGGTGCCCTTTGGATACGCTGACGAGCGTCATCGTTGCGAACGAACACATTTACGGCGTCGCCGCCGTCACGACGGCGCTTGTGGAGAAGGCACGGGGCCTTCACGGCGCCTCGCCGACCGCCGCCGCGGCGCTGGGCCGGCTGCTGACGGGCGGCGTCCTGATGGGTTCGTTGCTGAAAGACGCCGCGCACCGCGTGACGCTGCAGGTGAGCAGCAAGGGGCCGGTGCGGAGTATTCTGGTGGAGGCAAACGGGGCGGGGCAGGTGCGGGGCTACCTGGGACAACCCGCCATCAACGTACCGTCACGCAACGGCAAGCTCGACGTCAGCGGCGCTGTGGGCAAAGGCATTCTGCACGTCATCCGGGAAACCGGCGCCTCCGAACCATACAGTGGCACCGTGCCGTTGGTGTCCGGCGAAATCGCCGAGGACCTGGCGTCGTACTTCGTGCAGTCCGAGCAAATCCCCAGCGCCGTGTCCTTGGGCGTATTCGTCACCCCCGACCACACCGTGGCCGCCGCCGCCGGCTTCCTGGTGCAATTTCACGCCGACGTCGATGATGACCTGGTTGTTCACGTCGAGCAGGCCCTCGGCGCCGTACCGTCCGTCACCACCCTGGTGTGCGAGGGATACGGCCCGCAAGACATCCTGCGCCGTGCCCTCGGCGGCCTGGACCTTGACGTCGTCAAAGACGCCGCTCCCGCCTGGCACTGCGGCTGTTCCCAGGATCGCGTCGTCCGCGCCCTCCTCGCCTTGGGGCCGCAGCAACTCGGCCAACTCATCAGCGAGCAACCCGAAACCCAGGTCCGCTGCGAGTTTTGCACCACCGAGTACACGTTTTCACAGCAGGAATTGTCACAAATGATGGCGGACGCGATGGCGTGAGAACGGAGCGCTCAGGATTCTTGGGGGGCGGTCACCTGCTCGGAGTCCGTGCTCGGAGCGGCAATTTGCAGGCTGGCCAGGCCGCCGGCGACCCTGCCGAGATGCGCGCGCAACTCGCTGCGGGAATTGTCGATCATCGTTAGCGCGCGGGAGAAGCGCCCGTCCAGCTCAGCCTGCATGGACGCAATGCCGTCCTCGATGCTGCGCAGGCAGGCGTCGAGTTTCTGAGTATCGACCGTTTGCGCCGACCGCAGCACGGTCTGAAAAACGAGCAGCAGGTACGGCACGACCATGCTGTAGCTGATCAGTACGACGTTCCACTGAAAGACGTCGGTCTGCACGCGGGTGCATAATTCGTAGACCGCATCGGGCACGGCGGCGATGCCGAAATTCACGGTCACGTTCGGGTCGATGTATTTTCTGACCTCCCTGGCCTTGTCCCGGACCGCGGCCTCGATGCGGGTCTTGACCCGCTGGCGCTCGTCCGGGTCTTCGGCAGCCAGAAACCGCTCGATGAGGTTTGTGGCCGGCCACTTGCTGTCGATGGGCAGCACGAGCCGGTTGGGCAACCGTAGCCCAAACTCGACCGACTTGTTGCCCACCTGGAAATCCCGCACCTGCCACTCTGCCGGCAAGCGCGCGAACAGGGTTTCGAGGATGTTCTCCCCGGCGGCGCCCTTGCTCTGCGTGCCGGCGATGACGGCTTCGAGCCGCTTGATGGACTCGGCCGTCTGCTCTTCCAACCCCTGCCGGGCGTGGCTGTGCGTCTGAAGCTGGGCGACGCCCTCCTTGGCGTGCACGAGTTGATCGTGGATGACCGCCGTGGCGCTCATCAGCCGCGCCGTGGCGGAGTCCGTCTTCGCCAAACCGGTCCGCAGGTCGCCAATGCCCTGATCTACGCGGACCTGGTTATGCTCCATGCCCGACACCCGCTCGTTCACCCCACGCAGTTCAAGCTGGACATTGTGCAGCGCCTTCAACACGACCCACACGACTGCCAGCAGCACCGCGATCACCGCGGCCAGTCCTATCCCAAGCAGCGTTCCGTTCATGAGCGTCCCTTAGTCAGTTCATTTCGATGATTCAGCGTCCATTCCCGATCTGGTTGTTAATATACTGTTGCAGGTCGCCGAGGAATCCCTCCACGAATTCATCGGCCTTTTTATATGAGTCGAATATCTCTGCTGCTGTCATCGGGACGTTGAATTGGGCGAAATTCTGATGAACCAACTGGTTCCTGAGGCTTCCCAATTGGAGAAACGCGCTTATTGAGTCAGCCAGAGCAGGGTCGGCACGAACCCTGCCCTCCATAAACTCACGGAATGCAGCTCCAAAGGCCCCAAAGAATTGATTGGCGTTGCGTGCCTTCCAGTTAAACCATTGGTGGTAACGGCGCTCAATCGCCATGTTTCGCACAAACGAGACCAAGGCGTCGGAGTCATTGGTGCCGTCCAGAAAAGCCCGTTCAATTCCGTCGGTCATTCTGGTCTCAAAATAGCTCGCGACAGAAAGCAATAACGCCTTCACAAAAGCGGCTTCTGTTCTAATTTGTAAGGAAGTGTCGCCAGTCAATTGGAGGCAATCCATCAACTCACGATGCTCGTTCATCATCCTCTCGATGGCATTTTCCGAATACGGCTCCGTCATTGCGTTTAGTCCACAATGAGGACGACGCTGGCCCGTGATAATCGGGTTCGGACGCTTGCCGTGTCAGATGTTTTACTTTGAGTTGCCCCTCTGAAGTCTGGGTCCCCCTTCAAGTTCATTAGTGATTGGGCGTTGACCCTGCCGTTGATGGTTCCATGTCCCTCGTATGGCGTGGTGCAGGCAGCGACGAATACCGACTCGAAAATCATAGGGCTGAAGCGCCCTCGACTGCTATGAAAGGCATCCGATTTCAGGTGTTTGCAACTGTCAAGAAAGGACTGCAGTAACCGTTGCAACTGATTGAGATGTTTTTCGTTGAATGACTTGGCCTCTTGGGAAAAGCGATTCAAAAACTTAACCATTGAGGGCCGGTAAGTCTCTCCGCTGATCAGCATCGCAAAGCCCCGGAGGAGGATTTCTACATCCTTCATGTGGGTGTCAGGGATCTGCGCGCCAACCAGAGCCCTCCATTCTGGCTTCGTGTTCGTCCGATAGAGCATCTCGTAAAATTTGGAGTCATACATACACCGCCGGATTTCCTGCGGTCTTAAATTTACGCCGCCTGAATTCAGCCGGTTGAAAATTTCATACATGGCATCATCGCCTTTCGGATGTATCTGCTGAACGATAATGTTCCGGATGGTGCGAAGATCGAAATGTGTTTGATATTCTTCGCCTAGACTGGAGTACCTCCCCCGGTGAAATCGGTTTGGCTGGCCGGGGGTATTTTTGGGCAAGGCGAGTCGGAAGTCGCTGAAATACTCGTCGTTCGAGAGAACCTCCGCTGGCATGTTGCTTCGTCCGTCGGAAAGCAACCGTAATTCAGCCAGTTTTTCTCTACGAGGGAATCTTTCCTTCACGAAATAGTAGATGGACATCAACCGTTGCTGCCCGTCTATGACAAGGAACTTATTCCGGGCCTGTTCGTAAAGGAATACCTGGGGTATCGGAAGTCCAACGATAATGGACTCTATTAACCTAGACGCCCGCTTGACGTCCCAGACGTAGTTTCGTTGAAACCCCGGGATGATGACAACGCCCGAATCGATGAAGTCGACGAGCGTCTTGGTATTGAAGTCATTGGGTGATGACACCAAGTTATACTGGTCGATGGGATATGATCCATCCTCCGCATCGTCTTCGTCGTCGATGTCGGGTTCATACCGGTCTCTTTCTTCCTGTTCTGTTGTCGCAAGCGTCATAATCGAATCCTTCTGGCTGGAGGGACTCCTTGCAAGGTTCCCCACTTGGTAGCTCCAACTCTCTTGCTCAGAGCGGCGCGGGTGGGCGCCTAAATCCGCTGTTGGCCGGTCCATTTGACAATTTCGACTAGATTAGCAGATTTTGAAATGACTGGCGTTCGTTGACGGGTGGGTATCCTCGTCAAAACTCGCTGGCAGGACAGAGCGCGGCTTTCGCCGTAACAATACGGGTTGATTTGATCGGGGTTTCAGGCTTTATGCCGCCTTCCCTGGATTATACCGGGTCGATGTTCCAGTGATCGATGACCCACTGGTCGTGATACAGGCGAAAAAAACACAGGGCACCAGTTGAAATTTTGATACCGTGCCGGTGCCTGAAGCCCTCGAAATCTCCCGTCAGATGCGGTGCGAAGCGGGCGATGCCGTTACTGGTTACAACGAGCACCGTCTGGCCGCTGAAGGATTGGCGGCAGGCGTCCCCGAAGGCCAGCCAATCTTGGATGATGGCTTGCGGGTCAACCAGCCAGCCGGGCGGCGCTTTGGCGCGTTCGTTCCAGTCGCGGAGGGCCTGGTCGCCGATTCTGGCGACGACGGCGGATTCGGGCTGGTTCTCGTCGGAACCGTAGTCGATCTCGTTGAACCGCGCGTCGATGGTAATGGGCAGGTCACATCCCGCGGCTTCCACGGCGAGACGGGCGGTGTCGCAAGAGCGCTTCAGCGGCGCGGCGAACACCATGTCGGGCACCATTTGGTGACGGCGCAGATAGTCGCCGATGCGCTTGGCTTGCGCCTCGCCGCTTGCCACGAGTGGCAGGTTGGTGCGCCGGCCGACTCGTCTTGGGGTGTCGCCGGGGTCGAAGGTGTTGCCGTGCCGGGCGATGATCAGGCGGGTGGTCATGGAGTCAATCCGCCAGCAACTCGCCGTGGCGGGCGATGAGTGCCTCGGCGCGGGCTACGTCCTCGGGGCTGTCCACACCGGACATGGCGGCGCGGCCCCGGTAATCAACCTGCACGACGCGGATGCCGTAGCCGTGCTCCAGAACCCGAAGCTGCTCCAATCCCTCAAGTTGCTCGTAGTATCCCGCCGGCAGCGTGACGTAGGTTTCCAGCATCTGGCGGCTGTAGCCATACAGCCCGACGTGTCGGAGTACCGGGGATAAGGCCCCTTGCCGCCGCAGCGCTTCCTCATTCCGCATGGCCGGAATGATCTGCTTGGAAAACCACCGCGCGTTGCCATGCGGGTCCACAATCACGCAGGTGCCGCTGAACGGCGTCTCGCGCTTCTGGGTCCGCAGCCGGTCCAGTTCCGGCCAGCTCAACCGCACCGCGGGTGTGACCACCTCGATTGACGGGTCGGTCTCGAAAGCCCGCAGCATGGCGGCAATGAAATCGGGCGGCGTCAGCGGCGCGTCGCCCTGCAGATTGATCACCACGTCGTACGCCAGCGGCAGTTCCCGGAGCGCCGCCAGCGCCCGGTCCGTGCCGCTGGGGCAGGATGTCGGCGTCATCACCCACGGTGCCCCAATCTCCTCGCAATGCGCGCCGATGCGGGCGTCGTCCGTCGCCACCACCACGTCGATGTCGCCGTTGTCCCGCGCCGCGGCGCGGGCGATATTGCACACCCGAGACAGCATTGTTTGCCCGGCGATGCGCGTCAGCGGCTTGCCCGGCAGGCGCGTCGATCCGTAACGGGCGGGGATGATCAGAATGGCTCGCATGTGCGGCGTCCTTTGGGAGGTGAGAAGCGGGCGCGGCCCGTTGTCTGGCGGGGCAGATATGCTACCATAACGGCTTTATCCGCAGTGCGTCCCGGATCGAGGGGTAAACCATGACAGAGGCAACGGACAAGGTGAACGAAACTGCCGCCAACGCGGCACCGGCACATTTCATCCGCGAGATTATCGCCGCAGACCAGCGGTCCGGCAAGCACGACGGACGCGTCGTTACGCGCTTCCCGCCGGAGCCGAACGGCTACCTGCACATCGGTCACGCCAAGTCCATCTGCCTCAATTTCGGCCTCGCGGCGGAGAACGGCGGCTTCTGCCACCTGCGCTTCGATGACACCAACCCCAGCAAGGAAGACGTCGAATACGTCGAGGCGATCAAGGCCGACGTGCGCTGGCTGGGATTCGAGTGGGGCGACCGGCTGTTTTACGCATCCGATTATTTCGCCGAGCTTTACGACTACGCCGTGGAACTCATCCAGGCCGGCAAGGCGTACGTGTGCGACCTCAGCGCCGACGAGGTGCGCGCCTATCGCGGCACCCTGACCGAGCCCGGCAGGGAAAGCCCCTACCGCTCACGCTCGGTCGAGGAAAACCTGGACCTGTTCGCGCGCATGAAGGCGGGCGAGTTTCCCGAAGGCTCGCGGGTGTTACGCGCCAAGATCGACATGGCTTCCGGCAACGTCAACCTGCGCGACCCGACGCTCTACCGCATCCGGCGCGTGCCCCACCACCGCACCGGCGATGCCTGGTGCATCTACCCCATGTACGACTTCACCCACGGCCTGTCCGACGCCTTGGAGGGCATCACGCACTCCATTTGCACCCTGGAGTTCGAGGACCACCGGCCGCTCTACGACTGGTTCCTGGACGTTCTGCAGACGCCGTGCCATCCGCAGCAGATCGAGTTCGCGCGCCTCAATCTCAGCCACACGGTGATGAGCAAGCGCAAGCTTCTGAGCCTGGTGGAGCGCGGCCTGGTGAATGGCTGGGACGACCCGCGCATGCCAACCCTGTCCGGTCTGCGGCGGCGCGGTTACACGCCCGAGGCCATCCGCGCCTTCTGCGAGCGCATCGGCGTGGCCAAGCGCGACAGCACGGCGGACATCGCGCTGCTCGAATACTGCATCCGCGAGGACCTGAACCGCCGGGCGCCGCGCGTCATGGCGGTGCTGCGGCCCCTGCGGCTGGTCATCGACAACTATCCCGAGGGCGAAACGGAAGAGATGGAGGCGGTCAATAACCCCGAGGACACCTCGATGGGCACGCGCAAGGTGCCGTTTTCCAAGGTGCTGTACATCGAGCGCGACGATTTCCGCGAGGAGCCGCCGAAGAAGTTTTTCCGCCTTGCGCCGGGGCGTGAGGTGCGGCTGCGGTACGCCTACTACGTGACCTGCGTGGACGTGGTGAAGGACGAGCAAGGCGAGGTGGTGGAAGTCCACTGCACCTACGACCCGGCCACGCGAGGCGGCGGCTCGCCGGACGGCCGCCGGGTCAAGGCCACGCTGCACTGGGTGTCGGCGGCGCACGCGATTCCTGCCGAGGTGCGGCTGTACGACCATCTCTTCGCCCAGGCCGACCCGGACGACGTACCCGAGGGCGAGAATTTCACCGCCGCGCTGGATCCCCATTCCCTGGAAACGTTGACGTCGTGCCAGGTCGAGCCCAGTCTGGCCGGAACAGAGTCCGGCAGCCGCTACCAGTTCGAGCGCCAGGGGTACTTCTGCGCTGACCCCGATACGACCCCGGACCGCCTGGTCTTCAACCGCACCGTGCCGCTGCGCGATACCTGGGCGAAGATAGCCAAACAATAATTCGTGATTGAGGAGTCCTTCATGACGCAGTCACAGGTGCGTGTCCGCATCGCGCCGAGCCCGACCGGCGCGCCGCACGTCGGCACCGCCTATATCGGGTTGTTCAACTACGTGTTCGCGCGCGTGCACGGCGGGCAGTGCGTCATCCGCATCGAGGACACGGACCAGGCGCGCTCGGAACGGCGCTACGAAGAAGACATCCTGCGCTCCCTGCGCTGGGTCGGCCTGGCGTGGGACGAAGGACCGGACGTCGGTGGCGCTTACGGCCCCTACCGGCAGTCGGAACGCCTGCCCGTCTACCGCGAACACGTGCAGCAGTTGCTCGACAGCGGCGCGGCGTACCGCTGCTGGTGCACGCCGGAACGCCTGGAAGCGGTGCGCCAGCAACAGCGGCAGGACAAGGCGCCGATGCGCTATGACGGGCACTGCCGATACCTCACCGAGGCTGAGGCAAAGGCCCACGGCGACCAGCCCTCGGTGGTGCGTCTCAAGGTGCCGGAAGACGGCAGCACCGTGGTGCACGACGCGTTTCGCGACCCCATTACCATCGAGCACGGACAGATCGACGACCAGGTGCTGCTCAAATCCGACGGCTACCCCACCTACCACTTGGCCAACGTCGTAGATGACCACGTCATGGAAATCTCGCACGTCATCCGCGCCGAAGAGTGGATTTCTTCGACTCCCAAGCACCTCATGTTGTACCACGCCTTCGGCTGGGCGCCGCCGGTGTTCATGCACATGCCGCTGCTGCGCAACGCCGACCGCAGCAAGATCAGCAAGCGCAAGAATCCGGTGTCGCTGCGCTACTACGAGCGTCAGGGTTACCTGCCTGAGGCGCTGCTCAACTTCCTGGCGCTGATGGGGTGGTCGATGCCCGACGAGCGCGAGGTCTTCACGCTGGCCGAGATGATCGAGTCGTTTTCGTTCGACCGCATCAGCCTGGGCGGGCCCGTTTTCGATCTGCAAAAACTGGAATGGCTGAACGGCATGTACATCCGCCAACTCTCGCCCGCGGCTCTGTCGGAGCGGCTCTTGGAAAACGCGCGTGCGAAGTCCCGGCTGTTGGACGACAACGCCTACGTGGACGCCATCACGCCGCTGCTGCAGGAGCGTCTGCGCACGCTGGGCGATTTCCAGGACATGGCGGCGTTCTTCTACGACACGCCGCTGGCCTACGACAAGGCTCTGTTGCTGCCCAAGGGCAGGAACCCGCGCGAGGCCGTCAAGGTGCTGACGGAGGTGGCCGAGGTACTGACGCGACACGCCGGCCCCTGGCAGGACGCGGAGCTGGAAGCCAGCGTGCGCGCGTACGTCGAGGGCGCCAAATGGCCGGGCCGCGACCTGTTCATGACCCTGCGGACCGCGGTAACCGGCCGCACCGCCTCGCCGCCTTTGTTTGCCACCATGCAGGTTCTGGGCAGGGACCTCTGCCTGTCCCGGCTCGAGGACGCCGTGGCCCTGCTGCAAAAATAGGGGCCGGAAGAACAGGCATGAGCACCACCTTCGGCATCACCTTTCTCGGCACCTCCGCCGCCGTTCCCACCGTGAAGCGCAACGTCTCCGCCACCCTGGTGACGTATCGGGATTTGAAGTGGCTGATCGACTGCGGCGAGGGCACACAGCGGCAGATCACGCGGGCGGGCAACGGCTTCAAGAACCTCACGCACGTCTTTCTGAGCCACGAGCACCTGGACCACATCCTCGGCATGGGCGGGCTTCTGGCGACCTTCAACATGCTGCAGCCGGTCAAGCGGCTGGCAGTTTACGGCAATCCTGCGACCCTCGGCCGGGTGCGCCAGATGGCCGGCTTCATCGGCCGCTCGCTGCAGTACGATCTGCAATGGCACGAGATCAGCGAGGGACTGATCTACACGCACCGCCAGCTCGACTGTTATGCCTTCGCAACGAAGCATCGGGTCAAGCGGTCATACGGCTTTGTGTTCCAGGAGAAGCCCCGGCGTCGGTTTCAGCCCGAAGCCGCCGAACGTCTCGGCATTCCCCCCGGACCGGAACGGCGCCGGTTGCTCGCCGGCGAAAGCCTGCGCGGCGCCAACGGGCAGATCGTGCGGCCCGACGACGTGCTGGGGCCGGAAGAGCCCGGCAAGAAGCTCGTTTACGTCAGCGATTCGATGTATTTCGATGGGCTAACAGAGGCGGCGGCCGGTGCCCATTGCCTGATCAGCGAGGCCACCTTTTTGCAGGCGGATGCGGAGTTGGCCGCCGAAGTCGGCCACATGACCGCCGCGCAGGCCGCCAGCGTGGCACGCGACGCTGGCGTGGAGGTGCTGTATTTGAACCATCTGTCGCAGCGTTACGCGCAGGCCGAGCACCTGTTTCTTGAAGAAGCACGGCGGATTTTCCCGAACACGCATCTCGCCAATGATCTGGAGAGCATCACGGTGTAAGAAGCGCAGGCACGTCAGCCGGCGCCGCATACCTTAAACGTAAACCATGTTCCCGGTTTAATCTGTAAAGGATGAGCCACTGCACAACTACTCCGCTAGTTGGCCTCGGAGCGCGGTTGTCATGAGACCGTACGGTGATCATTGCCGTCGGTGGTTCGCAATTGTCCACGAATTCAGCCATGCGGTGCCTGAGTTCCGGCTCCCGTCTTGCGATGCGGACGCAAACTCTCCGCTGCGTACAGGACAGCAGCGGAAGCGCGTGCCGGGCATGGAGGAAACGTGGGGCCGCGAGACCAGCTTCAGTCACCACGCGCATCAACTGATCAACTCGTGAGGCGCACAATCCCGAACATCAGATGACGACACGCACCTGGGCATGGCCGCGCACGCGCAACCGCTGCGACGGCATTCCTGAATTCATCCTTGAGGCGCACCATTGACGCGCTCGACGGTCGAGCGTTCGTGTACGTCTCGTCCGCAGACTCATACAGGACCAACCCACAGGCACGCCGTCCTGCCTCGCCTCTCCTGCCGCAGCGCCTGCTTGCGCGCGCGCCGCTCGCGGGGGTTGACGCCGTCGATGATCGCAACATGACCCAGGGCGCGGCTGTGGGCGCGGATTTCCGGGGCATCGTAGGCGCTGTCCATCAGGTCATACAGGTTGCGGACTCGCTCCGCCGTCAGGGTCGCAGCGGGATGGCGACTTGGCTGTCGTGCAGCGACGCCGAGGTAAGCAGGCAACTGACCGGGATGGCGCCGTCGGCCGCGTCAATATGCAACTTGTAGAGCCGCTCATGACGTCTGATAGCCCTTGGCGTCGCGCTTGACGCCATGTCACAGGCGGTACGTGCAAGTCGGCGAGCATCTCTTCTCCGGCAGGGTCATGTGCGCGGGCGCTCCAGACGGCGCGGCTCCGTGGGGCGCTCCTCGCCCTTGCGGCGGACGCCCGCGCCGCCGCTTCGGCTTGGCCGGCTGCGGCGCCTTCGGGGTTCGGTCTCTCGCGTCCCTTCAATCGCCGTCGAATCGCGTGAATATGGCCTGCCAGACGCTCACCCTGGGTGCGTTTGATCAGCGCCTCGTGCAGGTGCTCGGCAAGGCGCTGTCGGCAAATTCGGCAAAGGCACGTGAAAACGTCGCCTCGCTCGGAATGTGCTTGACGCTACGCCAGCCGCACAACCGGCGCAGGGTGCTGTCGTGGCGCAGACGATCAAGCAACATCCGGTGTGCTAACCAGCGCGAAGACGGCCTTGGCGATGAAGGCGCGGGCTAAGGCCGCGCGGTCGCTTGCGGACAGCCGCGACGCCGGTGCTGGTACTGGCAGCAGCGTTTTCCCCTCCACCCGCACCCATTCGAGCACCATGACGAAGCGCTGATGCGTTCCCTCCCCACGCCCCGATCGTTTTCCTCAAGCTGCGGAACAGCAGCGCTTGAAAGCAGACCATAACTCGATGAGTATCTCAGGCGTAGGCAGTGGGGTCGTTCTCTCCGATTCGTTGTCTTGACACTCAACAGTATCAGAAAGCGCCCCATGTCCCCACACCTACAATCACCACGAGCCTGCCCCGTGCCTTGACACGGGAAAGAAATACTCCACTGCGTACACCAGCAAGTCTGCACAGTGCTCAGAAGAGAGTAGATATAATCTTCGATCATTTCGGCACGAAGCAGTGGTCCTTAGAGAGGCCCACGACGATACGGCCATGCTCAGGTAGAGGCGCTATCACCGGCCGGCGGGGGTTCATACAGGAAGTAAATCCTGTCCACATGGGGAAGTAGCTTCACGTGCCACCAGAACACTTTGTTGGTTCCGCGATGACGCCGGGTACGATCTCTACTAGACCGTGGATGCCTCTTCGTCACGCCATTCTCATCCGAGGTTACGGAATGGAGCCGAGCCGATAGGAAACGCGACATTCACTCACGCGTGGTCCCGGCCGCCATGTCTTCGTAGACCGGCGACTGCCGCCCCATAATCACTAAGGCCACCCAAATGGCGGGTTAGTTCGTCCCGAACGTCAATGTACCGGCGACTGTAGTCTCCAAGTCCTTGCCAGACGTTGTCGGCCCACTCGAGCGCAGGAAAGGCCGAAGGCGCGACACGCTCGAACATCTTCTCATTCGCGTTCTCCAGCGCGATGACAGACCGAAAAAACTCAACATGCTGGGATTCTTCGGCTACGAAGGCGATTTTGACAGTATCGCCAGCCACCGTTACAGGCACCCGCCCACGCGGTACTCCTCCGAGCGACAGCGAAGAACAGCTATTTGCGTGCTGCGAGCAGCAGCGTGTGTGCCCACACTGTGCGACCGCACGCAACCCTCGATTTCGGCATCGTATTCAACGAACTCGGAATCGTCGAACTCAATTGCTCGGTCTAGTACTACATTTGCAATTCCACGTTACGATTCTGGCTCCGTCGGGTAAATGACAAGACCAATCGTGCGCTACCACCCATTGATGCCGACGGCGCCATTTGCTCCATCCTCCCAACACCTGCTTCCATCCACGGGCCGTGCCACAACCCTCAGCACTAAACGCAAAACCCACGCCGTATCTTCGCCACACTCAACACGATCACCAGCCCCTCGACGCTTTGAAGCAGCCCAACAGACTGGCTCACCGACGAGCGTTTTTTTTCCACCACCTGCAGTGGGCGGCCCGCACGCACTCATCAACGCCACGCCCACAGCGACAGGTGACGTGGCTGATACCACCCTCCACTGCGAACCTCATACTCATCTAGTCCCACTTCATCAGCCTTGGGCGGGGCCGCCTCAAACCACACATCCTTTTCAATCACCAACGCCGACCCGCCACCCACCGACACCATCGTCGCCAAGTCGGGCCGCACGGCGCTACACATACACCGCATAGGCCGTCAACTTCCCGTCCGCTTTCAGCTGCGACGCACCGCAAACAGCGGCGTGCGCCAACCCGGGCTGCTGCGCCGTCAACCCACACACTCTCACTTGCCAGTCATAGAACCACTCGGCCCCGTGCTCCCGCACCGCCACTCAGTCGCTGCGCTGCAAGCGCGTCAAGCCCGCAAGCACCGACTGCAACCGAACACGGACGACCCTCAACCAGACACGTTCCTTGCCAGACAAACAAAAACGCCACACATACGCCTTTGCCTGCCTTCCACCACAGACGCAAGCGACGCGCGTCGCCGTAAACGCTGTCCCGCCCCCCCACCCCCACCACCCCGCCCACCCCCCACGCCACCCACCAAGGAGCACCCCGCCCGTCGCCTCGACCAGCCCTCCCCCCTCACACCCCCCCTCGCGGGGCGTCCATTTACCCACGAGCCCTCGCCCCCCCCGCCCGACCCTTGCCCCACCCCCCCGCCCGAAGCTGTGAGGGTCCTCCCACAAGATGCAGTCAACCCCCGAAGCAAAATGCGCTCTCAAGCATCGCCGGTCAACTCAGGTTTGGTGGCAAACTCTGCCTCTGGAGCAATGGCCCGCCCTCTGCATCGCGCAGCATCCTGTCCCCTCCTTCCCCGACGCGGGCCGGTATAGGCACGTCCAGCAAGGTCTGACCCAGGCGACTGGCGTAGCCCACAAACACGCCAATCTGACAGTTTTCGACTTGCCGCCGTGCCGCTGTACTGCCTGGCCCACCCCGGCGGAGCGGTCGCCTTTTTTCAAGAATCCCGTCTCATCGACCACCAGCACCGCGTCGGGGTCGCCCAGGTGTGCCACGACGTAGCACACAGGGCGTCTCGCAGGTCGTCGGCCTGCCACGAAGCCCGTCCGAGCAAGTGCTGGATGCCATAGGGCGTAGCATCGCCGTTGATTTCCGCCAACTGCCAGGCGTTTTTACGTTCTGTGGTGCTGAGCAGTCCTTCGATATAGGCCACGGCGCGTTGCCACGATTCCCGACGGCCAAAGGAGGGACGCAGGCACTGGTCCACCTCATGGAGACAGGCTTGCCAGCCCGTGACAGTCGTCATAGCCTGCCCCGTGCTTGACATGGGGTCGGCCTCGGTTGCGAGCGAGTTGAACGGCTGGCTTGACATCATGGCTCTCCTTCGCTTTGCGTTCAGGGAAAAGACCATGATAACAGCTAAACCGCAACTGTAGTACTAGGCGGTCCAGCTTCGGCACCACCAAGGTGTCACCCTTACGCACCGCGGCCATGGCCTGATCCAGGCCGGGCCGGGCGCGGTTGGTGCCGGTCAGACCCTTGTCCATGTAGATGCGATTCGGTGCAACGCCGAGTTCGGCGAGTGCCTGCCTCTGCGCCGTCAGGTCCTGCTTGTCCGTGGAACAACGGGCGTAGCCGATCAGGGTTGCTGTCATCTGCTGGGGTGTCCGTAAGAGGTAGGTCATCTGATGCTGATGCGACAAGGACAGACACGTGCGACGGAAAAATTCTCACCATCGCGTCGCTGCATAGTCGGCTAAGGTCATGATTGCCTCGCCATGTTCGGTGGACGCCAGCGCATTCACGAATCGAAGGTCCGCAGTGACCACGATCGCGCCGATTTGGTGTGCGAGCGCAAGATAGACGCAATCGTAGACCGGCCGGTCGAGTGCCAGAGCGAGACGAACCGCATCGGCGCAGACCGTCTCGTCGGCGCCCCATCGTACCGGCATCCCTGGTACCGATGCCAGCATGGCGCCCGCGTCGCCGCGCTCGATCTCGCCCAGCCGTGCTTTGCGCCACAGCGCATTGGCAATCTCGGAGGCCATCAGGCGCGGTGCATGCAGGTCCTCGCCCCTGGCAGCCATTTCACGGGCTATGTCCGAATTGTCTTCCGCGATCAGCCATTTGACCGCCACGCTAGCATCGACGACGAGATGCATCATAACTCGCGATGTCCGTGGTCGCGATCCTCACGGATCAGCACCTCCGCCGGCGTATGGGCGCGTCCCTCGGTCTTCTGCCTCAGCCGATCCGACACCGCCAGGAATGAAGCCCGCTTGGCCGCCATGTCGTCCTCGGCGGCACGTTCGAGGATATGGCGCACCTCGCTTTCCAGGGATCGGTTGTTGAGCGAAGCACGACGCTTTAGACGCTTGACCACGTTGTCGTCGAGTTGCCGCACATTGATTGCCGCCATCGCCTTACCTCCTTTCATTTTGATACCAAAATGGTGGCACAATGAGACGGATCAATCAAGAGCGGAGCAGTCGGCTCGAAAGCGAGTGAAGGTTGCTGTCATGGGCTGGAGTGTCCGTAGGAGGTGGGTTCATCGTAACATCGTGTCGCCGCATCGAAGTGCCGTAAAATGGCCCTGATGTGTGTATCATTTACATGGTACGGCTAAATTTGCAAGAGAGGGGCCTTATACGGACACCGGCGAGAGGTAGTAAATGACTTCGAGGAGAGGACCGTCTTTGCAACGGTTGGCGATCCGGGGTTTGGATCAGCCTTGAAACATCACCTTTCCATCTTCAACACGAGTCTGAGGCGTTAAGCCTCGGGTATGCCAACCGCCATGGTCAAAGAGTATGGTGTCGCTTTCGAGCCATAATCAGCCAGGATCGCAAATTTCCCTTGTTGCGGCTTTCGCAACAAAAGGCGGAGCGTGTCATGCCACGTGCCCGCGCCGCCTCGTCCAGCGTGTCGAGAAGCCCCTTGTCAAGGCTCAGATTGACCCGCACGGCCCGGCGGCGGTCAGAAATGTAAGGGATCATCATCAGAACCGCGCCGGCGGCGAGGTCCTCGGCTACTTCCCCGCGGACCGCCTCGATGCCACGGGCCGGGACGATCTCTCTGTCCTCGAAAAAAAGGGCCAGTGCCTCGATCGCGTTCGGGACGATCTCATCGAACGTGTCGGCTGCCGAGAAGCAGCCGGGCAGGTCGGGGAAACGGACCCCGTAGGCGCTGTTGGCATCCTTGTCGATCACGGCAACATAATGCATGGTCCGCGCTCCTCACATCCAGCCGGCCAACTTGGCGATGGCACGGGCCGTTCCCACTGGAAGATCTTTCTTCGGGTGCGGCACGATCACCGTGATCGGCCCCTTGCGGAATTTGTGGTGCGATCCCGACACTTTCACAAGTTCGAAGCCTTCAGCCAGAAGGCGTTTGACGATCGCCCTGCTGTTTCGTTCCATGCGCAATTATATACACACGGATTCGTCGTATCCACAGATAGACCCGGATTCGACAAACCCATTCAACTGTCATACCATGTCCGACAACCGCCGACCCATACAGAGGACTTGCCGCATGACGACAGAACGATTGAGCTTACGAATCGACGCCAATCTCAAGAAGAACCTTGAACAGGAAGCAAGGCGCGATGAGCGTTCTGCATCCTACCTTGCCGTCAAGGCGATCGAGGCCATGCTGCGCGACCGGGCCGAGAAACGAGCCGCGATCCGCGCGGCTGTCTCGGAAGCCGACGGGGGTGCCTTCATCTCACAGGAGGCGATGGACGCCTGGGTTTCTTCCTGGGGGCGAGGACTCGGAATTTCCGCCGCCCGAACCCGATGTTCGAATCGCTTCGCAGTGACCGATGAAGCTTGTCTTCTTGCCGTCCACAGTTTCGGATTTGCTGTGGATGCGCACCTACTACGCTCACATCTTCCCGGATGGCGCGAAGCGCGCTGCCGCCCAGTATGGCAGGACCTGCGGCGTTATCCGTGAAAATCCGCTGGTGGGCCGTCCAGTCGAAGAGATGGAGGGTGTGCGAGAATTCTCGATCCCGTGCACGCCGTTCTCTTTCATCTACCGAGTCGTTGATGACCGAATCGAAGTATTACGTGTCTGGGATCAGCGTGGTGACCGTTCAAGGCTTGCCTGATCGGCAGCAAGGGCAAAGTTAACAGAATGCCGCTTATCGGAAGTAGAGGAAACGAAAGCGAGTCAGATTGCTGAGCCGGGCGCTGTCTGATTGCGCGACACCTTTTGATGCTTCCCTTAGTACTACAGTTGTAATTCCATATCATGAGTCTGGCGTCGCTGGTAATGACAACACCGGGCTAGCCATTGATGGCGCCGCCGCCACCTGCACCAAGCCAACACGTGTCCGACCCCATGCCACACCAGCACCACCAAACGCCAGAGCAAACGTCGTATCTCCGCCACACTCAGAACCTGACCCTCGACCGAACCAACGGCCTGACCCGCGCCTGACGCGGCGACCACACCAAGCCCCGCGACGCTTTGAAGCCCAACAGACTGCTCAGCGACGCGCGTTTTTTTTCCACCACCCACCACGTCCGCCGCACGCACCGCACTCAACAACGCCAACGACCACATCGACAAGGTGACGTGACGGTACCAGCCCGTCCAACTACGAACTTCGTACTCATCGAGACCCACGTCATTCTTAGCCGACTCAAAACACGTCTCGATGCACCAGCGTCGGCCCGCCACCGATACCAGCGTCGCCATGTCCGTCCCGCACCGCGCGTACACCCTATAGGGCGTCAACTTGCGCTCTGCTCTCAGGCTGCGCCGCACCAGCAAGCAGCGGCACCAGCCCGCCGCCACCACCGGCGCCGACAGCCGCACACACTGCCAATCGTAAAGCCTCGGACCCTTGCTGCCCAAACCCGCGCTCAGCCGTTGCCATGCACCCTCAGCAAGCCCCGCCAGCACCGACTGCACCGAGCCCTGACGACCCCCCTCCAACTCGACACGTTCCTTGCCCGACACCGACAACACATACGCCTTTTCCTGACCTTCCAACCACCAACGCAAGCGACGCGCGTCGCCGTAGACACTGTCGCCCACCACCCACGACGCAGGCACCCCCGAAGCAAAGGCACGCCCCAGCATCGCTTGGGCCAACTCAGGCTTGGTGGCAAAGCCTGTCTGCGCAGCAATGCCCGCCCGCTGGCGCCGCCCAGCGTCCTTTGTCCACGACGCCGGCAGGTATAAGGCGCGATCCATAAGGGTCTGGCCCAGGCGGCTGGCGTAGGCCAAAAACACCCCTATCTGGCAGTTCTCAACTTTCCCTGCCGTGCCGCTGTACTGCCTGGCTACCCCGGCGGACTGGTCGCCTTTTTTCAAAAATCCCGTCTCATCCACCACCAGCACGGCGTCGGGGTCGCCGAGGTGCGCCACCACGTAGGCATACAGGGCGTCCCCGGAGTTGGTCGGGCTGCCACGAAGCGCGTCCAAGCAGGTGCTGGATGCCGTAGGGCGTGGCGTCGCCGTTGACTTCTGCCAGTTGCCAGGCGTTCTTACGTTCCGTGCTACTGAGAAGACCTTCAATATAGGCCACGGCGCGTTGCCACGATTGCCGCCGGGCAAAGGAGGGCCGCAGGTACTGTGCCACCTCATGGAGATAGGCTTGCCAGCCCGTGACAGTCGTCAACTCAGCCTCGGTGGCGGTCGGGTCGAAACGTTGCGTTGCCATCATGGCTCCTCCGCTTTGGAATCAGGAAAAAGACCATGATAACATCCAAGCTACAACTGTAGTACTAGCGAGGTCGGTTCCCGATGCCCGGCACATTGCTGATCAACTGCAGGCCAAGGGGATGAAGCTCGCCCTGGGCCGAAACATCCATGACCCCAGCGACCCGATGGGCAAGATATTCTTCAATATCCCTAGCCACCTTTGCCGAGTTCGAGGCCGATCTCATTCGGATGCGGACGCGTGAAGGGATGGCCATCGCCCGGGGCAAGGGCAAGTTGCGCGGCAAACAGCCCAAGCTCTCCGAAAAGCAGCAGCGGGAACTCTGCCGCATGCACGCCACCGGCGACTATTCCATAGGCGACCTGGCCGAGGTCTTCGCTGTTTCGAGACCCACCGTCTACAAGACGCTCAGCCGAGCGGCAACTCCCACATGAATCGATCTCCCCTGGATGCCATGTATTAGCTTTGAACATCACATTTGTGGGCATCTCCGGGAGAACGGGGGATGTCTTGAAAAAGGTCGAAGGTACCCTCCCTGAATTGTTCCCACATCAGGCCGGCTTCGGAGGCCGTTTCTATCTGCCGGCTGGGATCATTCAGATCCGCGCTTTCCGACCCGATTCCATTCCTGCCGCGTCCCCACCAACCTCACCACTCCAGACGCCCGTAACGTCTACCTGTATCGCCACGGTTGTTTTCATTTATCGTGCTGAAATTTCTATCCTCTCTGCCTTCCCTATGGGGATAATCTCTACGCTGCCATTTTGAATACGGACAAAGATATAGCGCGTGTTTGCACCAATAAACGTTGAATTCTCATGAGTAAAATTTTGGGACCCTGTTTCAATTTCAAAATTTGTTCCAGAGTTCCCTTTCTTTATATCTGCAACGCGTATGCGTGCACTTATGTATAGACTCGATAAGAACAAAACAAAAAATATCAAAAGAAAAAACACATATTGAAAATTACTAAAGTACCTCATAATGAGGCGCTGGACACGGGTTTGAACGAGAGCGAGTAAACAAATAGGAACGACGAGCCTGATATAGAATTCCATTATTATACCCATATGAGCCACTTGCAGAATTGCGTGTACGAGTGGGATTTTCTTTCTCCGTGTCAAGCACGGGGCAGGCTCTGGGGCTGATTGGTGGACATTGGGGCCGCTTTCTGATTCTGTTGAGTTGTCAAACAACCGAATCAGGAGGAACGACCCCAATGGCCTTACGCGAGATACTATCGAGTTACTGGTCTTGCTTTCAAGCGCTGCTGTTCCCGCAGCTTGAGGAAACGATCGGGGCGCTGGGGGAACGCCATCAGCGCTTCGTCATGGTGCTCGAATGGGTGCGGGTGGAAACGCTTGCTACCGTACCAGCACCGGCGTCGCGCTGTCCGCCAAGTGACCGCGCGGCCTTAGCCCGCGCCTTCATCGCCAGGCCGTCTTCGCGCTGGTTAGCACCCGGATGTTGCTTGATCGTCTGCGCCACGACAGCACCCTGCGCGTTGTGCGGCTGGCGTAGCGTCAGCACATTCCGAGCGAGGCGACGTTTTCACGTGCCTTTGCCGAATGCCGACAGCGCCTTGCCGAGCCACCTGCACGAGGCGCTGATCAAACGCACCCAGGGTGAGCGTCTGGCAGCCATATTTCCACGCGATTCGACGGCGATTGAAGGGCGCGAGAGACCGACCCCGAAGGCGTCGCAGCGGCAAGCGAAGCGGCGGCGCGGGCGTCGCGCAAGGGCGAGAGCGCCCACGGAGCAGCGCGCCGTCTGGAGCGCCAGCGCAACATGACCCTGCCGGAGATGCTCGCCGACTTGCCGTACGCTGTGACATTGGCGTCAAGCGCGACGCCAAGGACTATCAGACGTCATGGAGCGGCTACAGCGGCTACAGTTGCCTATCGACGCGGCCGACGGCGTCATCCCGGTCAGTTGCATGACTTACCTCGGCGTCGCTGCACGACAGCAGTCGCATCCGCTGGCGACCACTGACGGCGGAGACGCGTCGAACTGTTGTCTGGGACACCTGATGGACCAGCTAGCGCTACACGATTTCCTTTGCCCCGGAAATCCGCGGCCACAGCCGCCGCCTGGGTCATGTTGCGATCATCGACTCGTCAACCCCCGCAGCGGCGCGCGCAAGCAGGCGCTGCGGCAGGAGAGAGGCAGGCACGGCGTGCCTGTGGGTTGGTCCTGTCTGAGGAGAGACGTTACCACGACGTCGACCGTCGAGCGCGTCATGGTCGCCTCAAGGATGAATTCGGAGGTCGCAGACGTGCAGGTGCGCGGCCTGCAAGGTGCTGTGTCATCTGATGTTCGGGATTGTGGCGCTCACGGTTGATCAGGTGATGCGATTGGTGACTGTGAAGCTGGTCTCGCGGCCCGTTTCCCTCCATCCCGGCACGCGCTGCTGTCCTGTACGCAGGGGGAGAGTTGGCGTCCGCCATCGCAAGACGGGAGCCGAACTCGGCACCGCCCATGGCTGAATTCGTGGCAATTGGAACACGACGGCAATGATTCACCGTACGGTCTCATGACAACCGCTCCGAGGCCAAACTAGCGGAGTTTTGCAAGTGGCTCGGATTAGTGGGGATTATATTTGCCTATTGGAGATGCAAAACGGCAGACGAAAACTTCAAACAAGATCGCTACAGGATAGGATCGGAATTGCTTGACATGCATGGACCATACGCTGCTCGTGTTGCAGGTGCCGCTACACTTGCCGCTTTGGCGAAAAAAGATCCAAGTCAATACGATGCCAGAGTCATGAAGGCCTTTGAAGCCTACCTTGCCTTTCCGCCGGTATATGGCGGTCAGATAGGAGGTCATCAGAAAGGGAAGGTAGATTATAAGAGTAGAGATACTGAGGAAGTCGTGAGGGCGATCAATGCTCGTACCCGAAGACAGCGAAAGCGATACCGTGTTGTTCTGCCCCAATTTTCGCCCTTTATTGTGACGCGCAATGGTGACGTAAAAGGCAATCCAAAACATCCTGACTACCAAGAATGGGAGAAAGTCGAGGGACAAGCGCCAACGTACTGCACCCTAAAGCGCCCGTCTTGGAGATTTAAGAGCGAAGGCGGCGGGCGCTCTCGTTACAAATGGGTATCAATGCGAATCACAAGGCCAACATAACCTCCTGATGCGAAGTTGAGAATGGACCGGAGATGCACACGATGTCACGAAAGAAGAAAGAGTTGTCGCAGTACGCCGGCAGTCTGATGCTGCACAGATTGCCCAGGGGAATAAATGCTGCGCGCCGCAATGCGCGTTCGCCTGGCTTGAAGACGCCAAAGTTACTATCGAAACAGCACGTTACCCATCAGCGACTGCCCTAGCCTTTTATTATTGTC